ATTCCCGGAAAATCGGTTTTTTGTTAATAACTTCCGTCACAATCTCGATATCTTCACATAATTTTACAAATTAAAATCTTATGTCAATAGAATTCATTCAGAGAAAAAATTTTTTGGATCGGTCCATAATTGGACATAGCTCCCATACAAGGTCCCCTCCCGAAAATCACTTAAACGCACATAATTCATTACTAAATTAAGATAACCATATAGAATTTGGTACAAGTATTGCTCTCACATACAGAAATATTACTACGAAATTTTTTTTCGATCGGTCCATAATTGGTCATAGCTCCCATACAAGGTCCCCTCCCGAAAATCATTTAAACGCCCATAACTCATTACTTAATTAGGATATCCATATAAAACTTGGTACAAGTATTGCTCATCTGTACAGAAATATTACTATGAAATTTTTCCCGATCGGTCCATAATTGGTCATAGCTCCCATACAAGGTCCCCTCCCGAAAATCACTTAAACGCGCATAACTCATTATTTAATTAAGATATCCATATAAAATTTGGTACAAGTATTGCTTATCTGTACAGAAATATTACTGAGAAATGTTTTTCCGATCGGTCCATAATTGGTCATAGCTCCCATACAAGGTCCCCTCCCGAAGATCACTTAAACGCACATAACTCATTACAAAATAAAGATATCCATATAAAATGTGGTAAAGGTATTGCCCGTATGCACAAAAATATTACCGTGAAATTTTTTTCCGATATGTCCATAATTGGTCATGGCTCCCATATGAGGTCCCCTCCCGAAAATCACTTAAAACCACATAACTCATTAGTAAATGAAGATATCCATATAAAATTTGGTACAAGTATTGCTCTTATATACAGAAATATTACTATGAAAGTTTTCTTGGATCGGTCCATAATTGGTCATAGCTCCCATACAAGGTCCCCTCCCGAAAATCACTTAAACGCGCATAACTCATTACTAAAGTAAGATATCTATATAAAATTTGGTACAAGTACTGCTTATATGACTGAGAAATATAACTGAAAATTATTTTCCGATCTGTCCATAATTGGTCATAGCTCCCATACAAGGTCCTCTCCCGAAAATCACTTAAAACCACATAACTCATTAGTTAATGAAGATATCCAAGATGCTTATATGCACAGAAATATTACTGTGAAATTATTTTCCTATCAGTCCATAATTGATCATAGCTCCCATACAAGGTCCGTTTCAGAAAAACACTTAAAGGCACGTAGCTCATTACCTAATAACTCAAAATATGTGGCATAAATATTATTTTTGTACACTTAAATGTTATTTCAAAATTTTTTCATGATTGGTCAATTCTTGGTCATAGCTCTCATACAAGGTTCCCTCCCGAAAATCACTTAAACGCGCATAACTCATTACCAAATATTGATATCCATACATTTAGCAAAAATATACATAAATTAACCTATAAAATTGTTGTACGATCGGTCCATATTTGGTCATAGCTCACATACTAGTCCCCTCCAGAAAATCACTTAAATGCACAATATTCATTACCAAATAATGATATAGATACAGAATTTTGAAATTTTGTCTTTATATACATAATTGGTCATAGCTCCCATACAAGGTCCTTTTACGAAAATCTCTTAAACGCACATTACTCTTTACCAAATAAAGCTATTGATACAAAATTTGGTACAAATATTAGTTTTGTATACAAAAATTCTATTTCAAGATTTTTTCACGGTCGGTCCCATAAAAGTTTCCCTTCAGAAAATCAAATAAACACTCATAACATATTACAAAATTACGATATTGATACAAAATTTGACTGAAATATAGCTTTTATGTACAGAAATTTTGCTTAAAGAATTTTTTACGATCGGTCTATAATTGGTCATATCTCCAATACTAGGTCCTGCCCATAAAAGCGCTTTAACCGTATTTAACTAGTTGCATTATCAATTTGCGTAGAACAAAATTATATATATGTATTTTGAAAATACTTAAATCTTTCACACACATGCATACATGCAAATTACTAGATATCACTAAGCGCTATTAAAATATAAAGAAAATGGCGTTTGTAATGTTCAATAAATCTTGGAATCGTAATAGATTTATGCTGTTTAAATCTTGGGATTTTTTCTATTTAAGACATGAGAAAACTAATTTCTACAAATATTTGATCAATTCGTATTAATTAGTATTAATATAAAAGTGGCTGTTGGAGGGTATTTAAGATTCGGCTCAGCCGAATATAGCACTCTCTCTAACTTGTTATACCCTCCACCACCATCAGTGGTGATAGAGGGTATATATAACTTTGTCATTCCGTGTGTAACACCAAGAAATATTCATCTGAGACCCAACAAAGTATATATATTCTGGGTCCTTATCAAATTCTGAGTCGATTTAGCTATGTCCGTCTGTCCGTCTGTCCGTCTGTCCGTCTGTCTGTGTAAAACACGCTCACGATAAAACGAAGCAATAGAGCTTAACCAAATTCACCCAAAATGTTCTTCATTTTCCTAAGTTGTTTGGTATTGCAAATGGGCAAAATCGGTTCACACCGGGAAAAGTTATGAATCAAAATTTAAAACAACCTCGGAAAAAAATAAGCATTTTTTACACATTATGATATAATTTTCTCGAAAACTATGCAAGATAATTTCATGGAAATCACCATATATTCGTTTCTGCACAAGATCTTGATCCCTGCTGAAAATTGCCAGAATCGGTCCACAATGTCATATACCTCCCATACAAAAGTACAAATTCCCGAAAAATGGGTTTTTTGTTAATAACTTCCGCTACAATGTTGATATCTTCACAAAATTTCACAAATTAAAATCTTATGTCAATAGAATTCTTCCAGAGGAAAAATTTTATGGATCGGTCCATAATTGGACATAGCTCCCATACAAGGTCCCCTCCCGAAAATCACTTAAACGCGCATAACTCATTACTAAATTAAGATATCTATATAAAATTTGGTACAAGTATTGCCCACATGCATAGAAATATTACCGTAAAATTTTTTTCCGATCGGTCCATAATTGGTCAGAGCTCCAATACAAGGTCCCCTCCCGAAAATCACTTAAACGCGCATAACTCATAACTAAATTAAGATATCCATATACAATTTGGTACAAGTATTGCTTATCTATACAGAAATATTACCGTGAAATTTTTTTCCGATCGGTCCATAATTGGTCATAGCTCCCATACAAGGTCCCCTCCCGAAAATCACTTAAACGCGCATAACTCATAACTAAATTAAGATATCCATATAAAATTTGGTACAAGTATTGCCCACATGCATAGAAATATTACCGTGAAAGTTTTTTCCGATCGGTCCATAATTGGTCATAGCTCCCATACAAGGTCCCCTCCCGAAAATCACTTAAACGCGCATAACTCATAACTAAATTAAGATATCCATATCAAATTTGGTACAAGTATTGCCCACATGCATAGAAATATTACTGTGAAATTTTTTTCCGATCGGTCCATAATTGGTCATAGCTCCCATACAAGGTCCCCTCCCGAAAATCACTTAAACGCGCATAACTCATAACTAAATTAAGATATCCATATAAAATTTGGTACAAGTATTGCCCACATGCATAGAAATATTACCATGAAATTTTTTTCCGATCGGTCCATAATTGGTCATAGCTCCCATACAAGGTCCCCTCCCGAAAATCACTTAAACGCGCATAACTCATAATAAAATTAAGATATCCATATAAAATTTGGTACAGGTATTGCCCACATGCATAGAAATATTACCGTGAAAATTTTTTCCGATCGGTCCATAATTGCTCATAGCTCCCATATAAGGTCCCCTCCCGAAAATCACTTAAACGCGCATAACTCATAACTTAATTAAGATATCCATATAAAATTTGGTACAAGTATTGCCCACATGCATAGAAATATTACCGTGAAATTTTTTTCCGATCGGTCCATAATTGGTCATAGCTCCCATACAAGGTCCCCTCCCGAAAATCACTTAAACGCGCATAACTCATTACTAAATTAAGATATCCATATAAAATTTGGTACAAGTATTGCCCACATGCATAGAAATATTACAGATAATTTTTTTTCCGATCGGTCCATTACTGGTCATAGCTCCCATACAAGGTCCCCTCCCGAAAATCACTTAAACGCACATAACTCATTACTAAATTAAGATATCCATATAAAGTTTGGCAGAAATATTGCTCATATACAGAGAAATATTACTGTGAAATTGTTTTCCTATCGATCCATAATTGATCATAGCTCCCATACAAGGTCCCTTTCAGAAAAACACTTAAAGGCACATAACTCATTACCAAATAATGATATAAATAAATACTATTTTTGTTCATAAATACTATTTTGTAATGCAAAAAGCACTTAATGTTATTTCAAAAATTTTTCACGATTGGTCTATATTTGGTCATATTTCTCATACTAGGTCCTGCCCCTAAAAGCGCTTTAACCGTATTTAACTATTTGCATTATAAATTTGTGTAGAACAAAATTATATATATGTATGTATTTTGAAAATCCTTAAATCTTTCACACACATGCAAATACTAGATATCGCTAAAGCATATCTTAGGGCGCTATAAAAATTTAAAAGGAAGTGGCGTTTCTAATGTTCAATAAATCTTGAAATTGTAGTAGATTTAAGATGTTTAAATCTTGGGTTTTTTCTATTTATGACATGAGAAAACTTATTTCTACAAATATTTTATTAATTAGAAATGTACTAATACAAAAGTTGCTGGTGGAGGGTATTTAAGATTCGGCTCAGCCGAATATAGCACTCTAACTTGTTATTAATAAATTTAAACTATTTTTAGTTTAATATGTTATACAATATAAACAGTTATAACATTAGTTATTAATTTATTAATATTTTATTTTAGTATTTATAAACAAAGTTAAAAAAACTTCAACATTAAAGAAAACTTATTTGTACACATACATATACATATGTATATGTAGGTCACTTTTAAGTAATTACCTTCATTATCGACAACATTTAAATTAATATTATTTAATCGTTTAACAATATCTCCAACATCTTCAACAGGTTGAATGGCTCGACGACACTCTACCTCAACAATTAATACACTTGACAGCGTCAGTATAATTAACGCTACAAAATAACTTTGATAAACTTTCACAAACAAACGCGTCATCATTTTAGCAACTACAACCGATTAACACAACGACCGCTACTTTATAACTGAAATTGAAATTTAAAATCTCACTGATTTTTTATCCAAAAAATAAATAAATTTTATATAAACTGAAAGAAAAAACTCACAAATGCATTATTTTATAGATACATGAATGTATCTTATTTTATTTATTTATTTTCATTTCTTTATTTGATGTATTTTATTTAATGTTCAGGTTTTTATGCGAGAGTATTTAAACAAATATTTTCGAAAATATTTATACCAACACCTGTTGCTCTTTAATAAAACTAAATGTTCCGCATTGTTGTTATTGTCATAAATACGTCACGTATTTATTTTTAGTTTTTCTTGAGAGAGAGAGAGAGATTTTACAAAATATTTAAACTCTGTAACTTATTTGGAAAGGTCATTACGTGACGTAAATTTAATCATATTTACTCAGCTACTTTAACTATATTTGTTCGGAGTAAATACCTATTATGTTCTTTACTCTAGTGCTGCTCTTGGCTCTCTATATAAAAACACATGCACATTTCAATCAGTGTTGCCAACATTGGTCAAGCAAAACGCGCGCAAAAAAATTAAAAAGGGGTAAAAAAGCGTAATTTTCTAACTGAAAATGGGTAAAAAAGCACTAACGTTTTTTAGTCAAATATTGTTTATTTTAATAAAAATTGCACATTATTTCGCTCATTTCCTACAAGACTCCAAAATTCGTTTTTTAGAACATTGACGACAAAACAAAACATGCGTCATACTAAAGTCTTTCATCTGTGTGAGTTAGATTTTTAGTAACGTAAGAACTAAAACTAATGTTTGACGAATATTAGATAAATAAGATGAGACATTTTCAAATTCCTTGATTTGTTTAAAAGTTATTTTAAAAATAGTAAAATGTCATTAAACATTCAAACTGACAGGCACACTACCAACTGGCGAACCGATGTAACCACACCCAAATTGTAAAATTGTGTGAAATATATTTTTTTTGCAAAATCTATATATATTATTTTTAAGTTTATATATCGATACCCATAAAATTTTGTACATAGATTTTGTTTTGTTGGTCAGTTATATCGTCATAAAATTCGGAATAAAGAATTATAATAAAAATCTTTTTATTGCGAGTACAACGATGAAGTAATCATGGAGGCTTTATATATTAGGGATAGGTTCAATTGTGTAAAAAAATTGTATAAAACTTATTTTTTGTCAATTTTCATCGCTGTACTCATATTTTTAAGGGGACCTTAATAGGGGGTAGGGTAGGTTACCGAAAAATCCGAATTAAATTCAGTAGGAAGATTACGTTTGTATAAAAGTTGTTTATTTCGAATTTCTCCGCTATACTCGTATTTTTAAGTCAGTAAAGAGCGTTAAAATCAATTTTTGAAGGTGACCATATGTGGGGGTAGGGTCAATTATGGACCGATTGCCGTAAAATTTGCTAGAGAGATTTTGGCTTATATAAAACATATTTATGTCGAATATTTTTAAGTCGGTAATGAGTATTAATGTCATTTGGTAGAGAAATTTTGATGCATATAAAAGTTACTTATGTTGAATTTCAACGCTGCACTCATAGGGAGACCTTATTTGGGGGTAAGGTCAGTTATGGACCAATTCCCATAAAATTTGGTAGAGACATTTTGCCTTATATAAAACTTATTTATGCCGAATTTCATCGCTATACTCGTATTTTTAAGTCAGTAATGACCGTTTAAATCATTTTCTGAAGGAGACCTTATATGGGGGTAGGCTCAATTATAGACCTATTTCTATAAAATTTAGTAGAGATTTTGGCTTATATAAAACTTACTTATGTTGAATTTCATCGCTATACTCGTATGGGGGGTAGGGTCAATTTTGGACCGATTCCCATAAAATTTGGTACAGAGATTTTGACGCATATAAAACTTATTTGTGCCAAATTTTATCGCTATACTCGTATGTTTAAAACAGTTGTGACTGTTAAAGCTGTTTTTCGGGGGGTCACTTGTATGGGGGATATGCGAAATTGCGGACCCATATTGCCCATTTGCCATACCAAACAAACCTTACCTATAAGAAATATTTGTGGAAAAATTTAACTCGCTTGCTCTTTCCGATCTAACCCTATCGTGCTTTCAACAGACAGACGGACGGACAGATGAACAGACGGATGGACATGGTTAGATCGGCTTAGAATTTAATAAGGACCCAAAATATATATACTTTTGTGGGTCTACGACCAATATTTCGATGTGTTACAAACGGAGTGACAAAATCAATATACCCCACTCATCTTTTTTGATGGTGGGCATAAAAAGCACTAAATGCACTGTCATAAAATTAGAAAGCACCACTGTAGTGCCTTTTTGAAAAAAGGCACCATGAGCAAAATTTTCCGCGTTTGGCACACCAAAAGGCACCGCAAATAGTGCTAAAAGCACTAAGTTGGCAACACTGATTTCAATAAACATGAGAATAACTTTATGATCTTATCGATTTGAGAGCAGCAATGATTATAACTTCAGACATTTTAATATCTGTTCTTTGATTTGTACTAATACCAAGAAAGAAAATTGAAATTCTAAATTGATGTAAAGTAGATTGAAAGTCTACTTTGAAATGTACGCACATAAAACTGAAATTATTGTAATAATTTCATATTTTGATATTATAAAACCGGTTTCTCTAAGTAGTACAAAACTTGGATAGTACTACTTACGTATAGTCGATACCAGACAAAGACTTAGAACTATCTGCTATGCAGACGCTGTTGTAATACTTTAAATTGGCAGTAGAAGTGCTGAAGGGACTGTGGATAAGGCCTTGGTCTGGCATCAATCGAGGGGCCTCAGTGTTAATAACCTGACAGGAAATCTGTCTTTTCACAAGAAAGATAAAAGTTTCTAGTATACTGAACCCTAGGACCCGAAATTAAAATAGAGGTACAGCATAAACGATATGATCAACAAAGTACATCGATGCTGGGCGCTATGTAGGAAAAGCATTGACATTAAATGGGTCTTAGTCCTACTACGACATATTGGCTTTATATAAGAGTATTAAGACCACTGTGAATTTGATTGGACAAAAAGTGTAATATCAAACTACTACTTGGTTATAAGTGGTTCTGGAAATGTTGCTAGATATTCCATCCATTTAAACATGCATATGTATATAAAATATGAGGCGGCAATTACAACCTAACTGTTCAAACTATAGACTAACTGTCCAATAAAGGTTATAGCACAAGTCATCAATATGTACTAGACACATTGAAAGGCTATACACAATCATTGGACGTTCCCGATAGCATACCAGACCCAGAGTATGTCGGTAACTTTGCAACATTGATCCCTTTGGCTTTAAATTGGAGGACAACTTGGAGCTGGGGTTCAATATTGAAGACCAAATATACCACCGTCTACTTAATCACAAACACATTGAACATTGTAGCTAATACTATTGCTATACGGATGGCTCTAAATTGGAGGACAACTTGGATCTGGGGTTCTATATTGAAGACCAAATATACCACAGTTTACTTAATCACAAACACTAACACTTCCAGGCAGAAGTCCAATCAATAACGGAATGTGTAAATTGAAATAGAATAAATATGGCCCCAATAGGGGTTAACAAATTTACCGACCACAATGCAATTAAGGCGATATCAGGTGATAAAGTTAAATCTAAGATCGTAATAGATTGTAAAAACGCTTTAACCGAATACTCTCCCAGAGGTAAGGATTACAGCATCTGAATACCAGACAAGGCATGAGTGGTCGGCAAAACGAAAGAGCTAATGTAATAGCTTCAAAGGGAAAAGAGCGCGAAGTAGTTAACCTGAGAAATGCAAAACCATTTGATGCATCTCGGGTTGAATTAAAATTATTGGTAAGAGAATCCTATAAGTCCTCTTGAAATAATGAAAGGATGGATAGAGCCACAAAGATCCTATGGGGTGACCCTAAAGAAAGAAGGACAAGAAGATCAAAGAAGTAATGTGACAGAGCATCTCAATTTTCACTGTACCTACCTTCTTAAAGAAGGAACGGCTAATTTCCCCGATATATTAGTATTGCATGGATCACACTCAGCAATTCGCGGATAATATTAATCAAGTCCAATAACTAATCTCAATGGTCTAAAAAATATAAAATATAAAAGAAATATAAAATCAAAATTTTAACTCTAAAACTTCAGCATTCAAAATAACTTTTAAACTAACTGAGATAATATTTTATAGACATTCTTAAGTGTTATATGAGTAAGCATTTTTAAAATTATGATTCCAAATGATTTGTTCAAATTTCAAGAGCTCACAAATTGACATGAAAACACTTCAGTTATAATATCTCAGATGGTTAACAAGTTAGCAAAATATTCCTAAACTGATACTGAAAAGTATAGTAGACACTGTTCTAAGATGTCAAAACACATATAAGTACATATGTATGTGTGTATGTATAATTATTATATTAGAAAATGTATTTGTATGTGATATATGTGTAAGCATTAGGGTGACAAAAAAAATATAGAATTTCTCTAGATGGGTTTTGTTTGTTTACTATTGTGAAAACTAATTTATATAACGTTAGTTTTTGTGCTCACTATAAAAAAGATGAGGGTTTGTAATAACCATATCTGTATATACATTGTAGACCCGTAAAAGTATGTAAATATTTTCGGGGACCTTATTAAATTCTATCAAGATCTAGCTATGTCCGTCCATATGTCTGTCTTTTGAAAGCGTTATAGCGTCCAACCGATAAGACCAGAGAGATGATTCTAAGGTTTATTTGGTATTGTAAATGGGAAATATCATTCAAAATTTTTGCCCCCATATAATTTTTAACAGTCTTCGTCCAGGGAATAGTATGTGACACATTTTAACAAGTTACATACATATATTGAAAATTGCGGGCTGTAGCGTGCACACAAGGTTTACACAGTCACAAAGACTGACATAGCTCAATCGAATCAGAAAGTGATTCTGAACCGACTGGTATCCTTAAGGACAAATATTTTTGAGTGTTAGAAACATCAGGCCCAAATTGGAAGGTCCGGTTGTATGGTGGCTAGGGCAGAAATTAAGCCGATCCTTATAAAATTTATTGTTGGGAATTATGTTTATATACAACTTATTTGTGGCAAATTTTATCGTGATACTAGTATTTATAAATGAATTGTGGACATTCAAGTCATTTTCTGAAGGGGACTTTGTATAGGGGCAAGGATCATATGAGATCCAATCAGTGTTATTTATAATTATCGCAGACTTAATAATACTGATTTTTAGAAAGATAGTGGTATATTTGACGTAGTTATGAGCTAAAAGGCCCAAATCGGAGGGTCCGGTTATATGGAGGCTAGGACAAAACTTGGACCGATCCTTATACAATTTATTGTACTTATTTGTGTCAAATTTCATCGTGATATTAGTGTTGATAAGTGAATTGTGGACATTCAAGTCATTTTCTGAAAGGAACTTTGTATGGGGGTTGGCGTCAAATAATGCCCGATCTTTACGAAAATCGCTAAATTTATTAAGGCTTATCTATATAGGGATAGTAAATCATTTAACATAATTATGAGGTCAAAACCCCTATTCGGGTGGTCCGGTTGTATGGGGGCTAGGTGAAATAATGGACCGATTTCAACCATTTTCAATACCTATCATCCTTGGACCCAAAATAAGCGCACGTTCCAAATTTCATCATATTATCTCAAAAATTGCGAACTGTAGAGTGAGCACAAGATTTACATGGACACACAGACAGACGGACAGATAAACATAGCTTAATTGACTGAGGAAGTGATTCTGAGCCAATATTTTTGGGTGTTTAAAACATCGGCACAAACGCATAATACCATATCCCCATCTATAGTGGTGTAGGGTATAATTAGGTCGATATCTCCCACATATTAGCAATAGCTGCGATTTGATTTTTCAGGATTTCGGAGAAAACAATTTTTTGTTAAAAATTTTGAAAAACTGCCTTCATTCTTTCCTATTGTGCATTTTATATAGAACTTTTTCAGAATTCAAATTCAAGATAATGAGAAACATACATCTGAACTTTTAGTAAAATCGAATAATGTTAACCCATAAACGGTGAAGGCAAAACTCAAGCTATGTATTATTGGGAAATTCTCTTGAAACTATATTGAAATATTATTTTGTTTTCAACCGATTTAAATGAAATTTAGAAAAAATATATAATGAAGCCATGTTTTATGACAAACTTATATCACCATCAATGGTGTTGGAGCTCTGGTTCAGGTCTTTTTATACAAAAAATTTCTTCAGTAAATTTACCTTAATAACAAGTTAGAGTGCTATATTCGGCTGAGCCGAATCTTAAATACCCTCCACCAGCTTGTAGAAATAAGTTTTCTCATGTCTTAAATAGAAAAATCCCAAGATTTAAATAGCTTAAATCTATTACAATTCCAAGATTTATTGAACATTACTAACGCCATTTTCTTTTATATTTTTATAGGGCCTTAGATATGCTTTAGCGATATTTAGTAATTTGTATGTGTGTGAAAGATGTAAGGATTTTCAAAATACATATGTACACAAATTGATAATGCAACTAGTTAACTACGGTTAAATTGCTTTTAGGGGCAGGACCTAGTATGGGAGATATGACCAATTATAGACCGATCGTAAAAAATTCTTTAAGCAAAATTTTGTACATTAAAGCTATATTTCAGTCAAAATTTGTATCTATATGGTAATTTAGTAATAAGTAATGTGTGTTTAAGTGATTTTTTGAAGGGAACCTTGTATGGGACCGACCACACCCATGTTATGAACCGATCGTGAAAAAATCTAGAATTTTTGTATACAAAACGAATACATATTTCTGCCAAATTTTGTATCAATAGCTTTATTTTGTAATGAGTAATGTGCGTTTAAGAGATTTTCTTAAAAGGACCTTGTATGGGAAAATTCTATATCATTATTTAGTAATGAATATTGTACATTTAAGTAATTTTCTGGAGGGGACCTAGTATGAGAGCTATGACCAAGTATGGACCGATCGTAAAACAATTTTATTGTGCTAAATGTATGGATATCAATATTTGGTAATGAGATATGTGCGTTTAAATGATTTTCGGAAGGAAACCTTGTATGGGAGCTATGACCCACGATGGACCGTACGTGATAAAATTTTGAAATAACATTTATGTGTACAAAAATAGTATTTATGCCAAATATTTTCACTATTAGGTAAAGACTTATGTGCCTTTCCTTAAGAAAGGAACCTTGTATGGGAGCTATGATCAATTATGGACCGATATGAAAACAATTTCAAAGTAATATTTCTGTGCATATAAGTAACTTGTACCAAATTTTATATGGAAATCATAATTCAGTAATGAGTTATGTGCGTTTAAATGATTTTCTGAAAGGGACCTTGTATGGGAGCTATGACCAATTATGAACCGATCGGAGGAAAATTTCACAGTAATATTTCCTTATATATGAGCAATACTTGTGACAAACTTTATATGGATATCGTAATTTTGTAATGAGTTATGTGCGTTTAAGTGATTTTCGGGAGGGGACCTTGTATGTGAGGCATGACCAGTTATGGACCGATAGGAAAAAAATTTCTCAGTAGCATTTCTGTGCATATAAGCAATTATGGACCGATCAGAAAAAAATTCCACAGTAATATTTTTGTTCATACGAACAATACTTGTACCAAATTTTATATATTTTGTAATGAGTTATGTGCGTTTAAGTGATTTTCGGGAGGGGACCTTGTATGGGAGCTATGACCAATTATGGACCGATCGGGGAAAAATTTCACAGTAATATTTCTGTGCATACGACTAATGCTTCTACCACATTTTATATGGATATCTTAATTTAGTAATTAGTTATGCGCGTTTAAGAGATTTTCGGGAGGGGACCTTGTATGGGAGCTATGACCAATTATGGACCGATCGGGAAAAACTTTCATAGTAATATTTGTGTATATAAGAGCAATACTTGTACCAAATTTTATATGGATATCTTCATTTACTAATGAGTTATGTGTTTTTAAGTATTTTTCGGGAGGGGACCTTGTATGGGAGCTATGACCAATTATGAACCGATCGGAAAAAAATTATACAGTAATATTTTTGTTCATACGAACAATACTTGTACCAAATTTTATATGGATATCTTAATTTTGTAATGAGTTATGTGCGTTTATGTGATTTCCGGGAGGGGACCTTGTATGGGAGCTATGACCAATTATGGACCGATCGGGGAAAAATTTCACAGTAATATTTCTGTGCATACAACTAATACTTGTACCACATTTTATATGCATATCTTAATTTAGTAATTAGTTATGCGCGTTTAAGTGATTTTCGGGAGGGGACCTTGTATGGGAGCTATGACCAATTATGGACCGATCGGAAAAAACTTTCATATAAATATTTCTGTATACAAGAGCAATACTTGTACAAAATTTTATATGGATATCTTCATTTACTAATGAGTTATGTGGTTTTAAGTAATTTTCGGGAGGGGACCTTGTATGGGAGCTATGACCAATTATGGACCGATCGAAAAAAAATTTCTCAGTAATATTTCTGTACAAATAAGCAATGCTTGTACCAAATTTTATATGGATATCTTAATTTAGTAATGAGTTATGCGCGTTTATGTTATTTTCGGGAGGGGACCTTGTATGGGAGCTATGTCCAATTATGGACCGATCTAGAAAATTTTTTCTCTTAATGAATTCTATTGACATAAGATTTTAATTTGTAAAATTTTGTGAAGATATCGACATTGTGGCGGAAGTTATTAACAAAAAACCCATTTTCCGGGAATTTGTACTTTTGTATGGGAGGTATATGAAATTGTGGACCGATGCTAGAAATTTTCAGCAGGGATCAAGTTCTTGTGTAGGAACTTATTCATGGTGATTTTCATGAATTTATCTTGCATAGTTTTCGAGAAAATTGCATCCGAATGTGTAAAAAATGCTTATTTTTTTCGAGGTTGTTTTAAATTTTGATTCATAACTTTTCCCGGTATGAACCGATTTTGCTCATTTTCTATACCAAACTGCTTAGGACAACAGCGAATATCTTCGGTGAATTTGGTGTACTTCCTTTGCTTAGTTTTAACGTGAGCGTGTTTTAGGCAGACAGACGGACAGACAGACGGACATAGCTAAATCGACTCAGAATTTGATAAGGACCCAGTATATATATACTTTGTTGGGTCTCAGATGAATATTTCTTGGTGTTACACACGGAATGACAAAGTTATATATACCCTCTATCACCACTGATGGTGGTGGAGGGTATAAAAAAAACACACAAGTTCTATTTCCATTTTGATATTTTTTTTTGGACTTTTAAAAATATGTAATAAATCTTCTCTGACGTCTATATATCAATACTATCAACAGTTGTACTTTAATGGGAGGATTAAATAAATTAATAAACAGCTACAAAGTTTATTATTTGATAAGATATATACAATTATAGTTACTGATATACATAATTATACGTACATATTTATACACGTGAGTATTATTAAACAAAATAACCATAAAACTACTATTAATAAAGAATAGCACGCGATTTATATTCCACAGCTAAAGGTGCAAATCACAACAACTAATCAATGGCCAACTTAAGCAAAAGTAATTGAAAGTAACTAAACAGATAAGAGTTGAGAATACAAAATTTATACCGGACACAGTAAAAAATATTTTCTAACGTAAATAGAACCGAAAAAAAACCTACGATAAGAAAAACATGCATATAATACTAATAAATTAAGTAAAAAATTTATTACAATTATAAAGTTTTTATAAATAAGTTATAATAGAGTAATAGGTATTTCCAATTATTTCGAGATTAAGATTAATAGTTGTAAAAAAAATAAGCAGTTATTTAAAGGTCTTCTTCGGGTAACTTAGATAGACCCAAAACGCCTGTAGTTTGCAGTTGTTCCAAGGGCAAATCTTTAACTGTTTGCAAGAAATCCGGTACAGTACAGGCATATGAATAGCCCTTAATAAGATCTTTCTTAGACCAATTAATCCAATCAATTTGATGACTAATATCATTACAAATAATATATTCCTTTTCAATTTGTTGCAGTGAAGCATGAGGATTATTGACACCAATCAAAACAATACCTTGACGTGTGGCACGATCGATTACCACACGGAAATATATTTTGGGTACTGGTATCAAACCATTATTATTCTCATCGAAGGCCAAATATAATTCTTGATGAGTGCCATTAACATCGGGCAAAGTGGAAACGCCCCAAGTACCAGTGTAACAGTCTACCGTTAAGGCATTGTTGGACACATATTTACGCACGCCATCTTCTACACGTTCCCAGTTACCAGCATTGAATGCCTGCCATTGTGGAGCCACATTTACAAAGAAAAACGTAGAGCGCTGAGGTGAAGCAAAAATGAAATCTACTTTGGCAGCCATATGGCCACGAGCCATATATATATTAAGGGAATCATTAAAATAAGGAGAAGCATCCATGCCTAATATAGAGCTTATGGTTTTGTTTTGCTGCACTTTAGTATATAAATTATCCACATTTTTGCCCCCATAGAAATCACCTTCAATGAAACGGGGTCGTGTTACAGAACGTTGATACACCGAACTGGAAGGATTAAGTACATGATGAACATAACGGGTTACTTCATTAATTTCATCATGACATATATCCATAGTTTGTAAAAATCCTTCTGAAACCTTAAAACCAACTTCTAGTAAATCGGTGCCACCATTACACTGTCTGCCAGTACGTCTGGCTGTATAAGTGGGCCAAGCTGAACAGGAGAAATTGGAAAAATGGTAGTATTTATCAGTTACTAGATAATCGAAACCCTTTAAACAGTGTGCTGTCAGTTTGGTATGCTTTTCGAAGGGCTGGACAAAAGAGTTACTGCAATACATGTCAATGGCTTCACCATAACTTAATTCAACTAGACCATTGGGTTGGGGAACTAACCAATCATAAACTCCAGCTTTGGCAAATAAGGGAGCGGGATCTTTTAAATCACCACTTACCCTAAAAGAGCAGCCCACCTCATTTATACCCAAAACTCCTGTTGTTTCTAGAGATTCTACTGGCAAATCCTTAACCACTCTTAAAAAGTCGGGTACTGAACAGGCGTACGAATAACCTTTATGTAAATCATTCTTATCCCATTGCAGCCAATCGATTTTATCACCAATATCCTTACAAATGATATATTCCTCCTTGACCTGCTGCAGAGAAGCATGAGGATTGTTGACACCAATTAAAACAATACCCTGGCGGGTAGCACGATCTATAACCACTCTAAAGTAAATTTTGGGTACAGGTATCAAGCCATTATTGTTCTCATCAAAAGTCAAATATAATTCTTTTTGTGTGCCATTGACATCGGGTAAAGTGGATATGCCCCAGGTACCAGTATAGCAATCCACAGTTAAACCCTTGTTCGACACATATTTACGCACACCATCTTCCACACGTTCCCAGTTGCCACCATTGAAAGCCTGCCATTGAGGGGCAACATTTACAAATAGAAAAGTGGCTCGTTGGGGTGAGCCAAATATAAAATCGGTCTTAGCACCCATATGACCACGAGCCATGAAAATATCTATGCTGTCATTGAAATAGGCAGAAGCATCCATTCCCAATATAGAGCTAAGAGTCTTATTTTGTTGTACCTTGGTATATAGATTATCCACATTCTTACCAGCATAGAAATCACCTTCAATAAAACGTGGCCTGGCAACGGAACGTTGATACATCGAACTTGAGGGATTGAGTACATGATGAACGTAACGTGTTGCTTCATTGATTTCGTCATGACAAATGTCCATGGTTTGTATAAAACCTCCAGTTACTTCAAAACCAACTTCCAATAAATCTGTACCACCATTACATGCTCTTCCGGTACGACGTGCTGTATAAGTTGGCCAAGCAGTGCAGCTAAAGTTGCTAAAGGGATAAATTGTGCCATTTACCAGAAAGTATAGACCTTGTAAACATTGTGCTGTTAAGGTGGACTTGTTGACAAAGGGATTAGCAAAAGATTCCGTACAATACATATCAATATATTGACCATTTTTAATCTCTACCACACCTTCAGGATTTGGTACCAACCACTCGTATTTACCATGTTCGCTAAACAAAGGAGCTGGATCATGTAAATCGCCTGTTACGCGAAAAGCACAATCACCTGTAACCACCACTCCGTTTTGAATCTCCCCTTCAGGTCCTTCCGTTACAGGAGGCTTTGAGGTACTATTTGTGGGTGCTTCTGTTGTTAATGTAGTATTTAAGGGTCCTTCTGTTGTCAATGTTGTTGGTATTAATGTAGTATTTGTAGGTCCATCTGTTATCGAATTTATAACTTTTCCATCTATATTCCATATCCTTGAAGGTACTACACCTGCTTGTGTTAGAACTGCTGCTAACAAAAGCCCTAGTAGCCTTATTGAGTTCATAACTTTCTCTTTACTTTTTTTTGCAACACGTTTTGCCTTCAGAGGCAAATTTCAAACTGTTCAATTGCCTAAGAATAGTGCTAATTTTAAATCAAAATTTAATTTTGACCAATACTCGTGGTAGTAGTTCAATCTTATCAATCAATTAAATAAAAAACAAAACAAACTCTCAGATATAATTTACAGTTATGCCATTATCTTTCTTCCTCAGCATAGCTGCCATCGGAATTTACTATAACTGGTATAAAGCTTCGATAAGATTTAAATCACTCACGTAGATACTTCTATAGGCAATGTTGTTTATAATTTTTGTTTTTCTAAAATATGGACTTTATCTGTTTCTACTAATTGATTAGTATTTTCTAAAAGTTATTATACGTTTTATTCCAAACTTTAATCTTTTCAATTGTTGCCTGATATAGCATTCCTTAACCCATATTTTAGATAATCTGATCAAACAGGTGCCTTTAGATAATTAACTGGTACCTTTGATGGTTTAAATAATAAATCATATATTGATGATATCATCCTAGGGTGTTTCCTGAGAATATTGAACATGCTAACGAATATGACCTTACAAATTACCATCGAAAATACCTTAAATTAATAACCTAATACCTTTTCTTTCAAACCACTCGAAGCCCACAATATTTGGAAAAAATCCAATGTATACCAAAGAAGACTGAGCAGCACATAATTTGCATTATGTTATCCAGATATCGTGTCATAAAGATCTAAAAAAAATCTTTATCTATAAAAGTATATCCTTTCCTACTAGAGGGAGTTTAGCGTACAAGCTGTTTGGGTATAAGTGGTGCCATGTGGTCAACCAAGGCCCTGAAATGTTGCTAGATATTCCACCCATTGAAACATATTTAAGATATGAGGCGGCGCTTACAGCCGAACGGCTCTTTACTTTAGGCGAACTGGCCAAAAGCGGTTATAGGACACGTCATCAATGTATTTTGGACATATTGGAAGGTTATACACAATCATCGGACGTGTCTGATCGAATACTAGACACAGAATATGTGGGAAACTTTGATCCCAGATAGAATGTCTTGGTCAAGCGGAACATTAGACCAAATACCAATAGGAATCCGTTGTTACACGGATGACTCTAAATTGGGGGACAAAGTGGGGCTGGGGTTCTATATTGAAGTCCCAGAAACAGAAATATATCACCGTTTACCAAATCATAACAAAAGCTTCCAGGCAGAAGTACGAGTAATAACGGAATGCGTAAATTGGATTAGAATAAATATGGCGCCCACAGAGCTTAATATATTTACCGACCGCCAGAAGGCAATTAGGTCGATATCAGGAGATAGAATTAAATCTAAGACCGTATTGGATTGTAAGAAAGCTTTAACTGAATACTCTCGCAGAGGTAAGATTTACATCATATGGGTACCAGCACACTCGCGAGTAGTAATAGCTTTTAAGGAAAGGCAGCTCGAGGCAGTTAACCTGACAAACGCAAAAACCATTCGACGCAACAAAAGCTGAACTAAAAATATGGGTGAAAGAATCCCATAAGGCCTCTTGGAATAATGAAACAGTGGGTAGAACCACGAAGATCCTATGGGGTGACCCTGATGAGAGCAAGACGAGAAATCTCCTCAAATTGAGCAAGTGTGAAGTTAGTATGATGATACGTATTGTGAGTGGACACACAGGATTACGAGCGCAGAGCATGTGGAGAGGACAGTGAAACTTTGGAGCACTTTTTTTGCCACTCACAAGCATTCGTCGAAGTTAGATCCAAGTATGTTGGAAGTGATGTTATTCCGGAAATAACATTCCTGAGTAACACTGATTGAAAAATTCATAGGATTTACGTCCAGGAAACTGAGTTTCTGAACATTGGTAAATAATATATTCAGTGAACAAATTTTTTTATGAAAAGAAGCGCAAAACAGGATAGTGGTTTTTTCTTCAGAATTGATGTACTATACATTCTCCTATCAACCTAACCTACGTCATTTGGTATTGGCTAGCAATATTAAACGTGGAATGTGCCACAACCACTATCGCCCATTTCCCCCGAATGTTCATATCAATGTCAAAGTTGTTCGTGCTAAATTTGAGGTTGTTCGTGCTAATTTTGAGGTATATTTCTGGAAACTGGTACAACTAGACCAGTTTCCAGAGATATACAGGAACACACTGTAAAAATTTCAAGAAAATCGGTTTAGCCGTCAATAGGCTTTAGACAAACATACATACATGCATACAAACAAACACACATTAATTTTTATATATATAGATTTCTAAAGCATACCTCAGGGAGTGGTTATAAAAATTTTCTCATTCACTAAGGTCCCCTCTACATTTAAAATTTTATATTTCTATGTTCAATATCGTAAAAATATCAAAAAGTACCTTCGGAAAAACGAAAGAGTACAAAAATCTCTCTCTATAAATTCTCATTTAATAAGGACCGTGTGTCAGGTGTTCCGGTTAACCATTATAGAGAATCGAAAAGGTACCATTTGAAGAATGGAAAGTTCCCACTTACAGAATATTATTCAGTCAAGGCCATGTATGTTAAAATTTATGTTCGTAGATTGAATATTTTAGAAAATTCAAAAAGTACCATTTATAAGATAAAAAGTACTAAAAAGTTCTCTCTTAAATAATCTTATTCAATGACAAAGTATCATTTGAAGAAAAAGTACCAAAAGTGGAAATTACTAATAAAAATAGTAAAATTTTTACCCTTTTCGCTTAAAAATATACTTTTTCGAGAATTAAGTTTACAAAATGTACGGTATTTAAAGATAAAACTCAAATGATTCAAATCAGCATTCATTTGTTTCAGAAAAATTGTGCTTTCAAAAAGGCACCGAACAATTTACTCGAATTTGGTCCTATATAGGCCTTAGTACTCGAATTCCAAAATAATATATTATTTTGTGTGAGTAAATAAACTACTTTTTCGAATTTCATAAAAATTGACTTAATGAGTTTGAATAGAATTAAATTTCCCGTTTTTCCCCTGTTTGGTACTTTTTTCACCAGTGAAATAGCAAAAATTTTGTTTCAATAAATATTACACAGTTAGTGAATAATTTAATAGGAATACTTCAATAAATCGAAAAAGTTTTCTTAATGTGCTAAAAAAAAGTACCATAAATACAGTTTTCTCCCTTTTACACCCAAAAAGGACTGAATTTTAAAAAAAAGTACGAAACAGCTGTCTTATAATTTTGGGCGATATATTCAAAATATTTACAAAAATGTTATTTTGTTTATTAGTTAAAAAGTTATAAAGACCCAAAAAAGGTACCAAAATCACCTTTGTTACACATTTTCACCCCTTAAAAGTACGAATTTCAAAAAAGTACCAGACACCCATCTGCTTATTTTAAGGGTAGATACAGATGCATTTAAAATTTTTCTTATATCACTGATATTAGGTGAGATAATTAAGAAAACCTGTTTTACCCGCTTTTTCCCCTTTTTTACCCTTAAATGTACGAATTTCCAAAAATCCCTCCTTTGTGGATCTAGATAACCAAAAACATTAAAATTTCATGAATTTAAGTTCAGCCTTTTTGGCTGTGCGATGATGAATCAGTCAGTTATATAACGACCATCTAAACGTATGAGTATCATGCAAAGTAATAAGTATTAAATATTACACATACGCAGTGTAAGTAATCATGTGAAAACTGAAAAAGTTGTTACTGTTTTAACTAAACTGAATTAGATAAACATATTTATCTAATAAAGTAAGTAAATGTCAAATAAATTAATAAGTAAATAATGAACAAAATCATAAGTACGATATTTGCAACTCATGCATATTTTTACGACTACTTGTCCTTCTACTAAAAAAATCCTTTAATGTATTTTTTTATGAATAAGTAAGAAATTTGTCTAGATTTACAGTTGTTTTACAACTAAGTACGACAGCAAAGCTTTTCTATATTATTCTCTAGCTACTGTTTGTGTAAATTGTCCTCTTTGTGTTTGTTATTCATGAATTTAGTTGTTCATGCTGGTTTAAATTCAAACTATGTCCCATTAGAGTTTCATTTAATCTTGTATAAGTCCTCTGACAAAGCAATTTTATTTTCGCCTAAATCTTTTACAAGTCATAATTTTTACAAGATTTTCTTCAAATTTTTTCATAGTTAGTAAATATTTTTTAGTTTTTACACAACTACACCAGGATATTATGCGTTTATGCTGATGTTTGTAACACCAATCGAATCAAAATCACTTCCTGAATAGCTATGTCCGTCCGTCTGTCTGCTTGTATGTGTGTCCATGTAAACCTTGGTTTTTGAGATAATTTGATGAAATTTGGAACGTGCGCTTCTTTTGGACGAACGCTATTGAAAATTCATTATTTCCTCTAACCCCCATACAACCGGACCCCCCAAATAGGGCTGTTGACCTCATAATTATCTTAAGTGATCTACTATCTCTACCAAATCTAAGTTTTATATTAGTCTTAATAATTATAGCGATTTTCATAAAGATCGGGCATTATTTGTTCCTAGACCCCATACAAAATCTCCTTCAGCAAATGACTTGAATGTCCACAATTCACTTAGTTAGTTAGTTAGTTAGTTAGTTAGTTAGTTAGTTAGTTAGTTAGTTTTAGTTAGTTAGTTAGTTAGTTAGTTAGTTAGTTAGTTAGTTAGTTAGTTAGTTAGTTAGTTGTTAGTTAGTTAGTTTAGTTAGTTAGTTAGTTAGTTAGTTAGTTAGTTAGTTAGTTCGTTAGTTAGTTAGTTGTTAGTTAGTTGTTAGTTGTTAGTTCGTTTTCGTTAGTTCTTCGTTCGTTCGTTCGTTAGTTTCTTTGTTCGTTCGTTTGTTCGTTCGTTGTTCGTTCGTTTGTTCGTTCGTTTGTTAGTTAGTTAGTTGTTAGGTAGTTAGTTAGTTAGTTAGTTAGTTAGTTAGTTAGTTAGTTAGTTAGTTAGTTAGTTAGTTAGTTAGTTAGTTAGTTAGTTAGTTAGTTAGTTAGTTAGTTAGTTAGTTAGTAGTAGTTAGTTAGTTAGTTAGTTAGTTAGTTAGTGTAGTTAGTTAGTAGTTAGTTAGTAGTTAGTTAGTTAGTTAGTTAGTTAGT